ATTATACATGAACACGTGTGTTGTTTTATTAAGTAAGTGAAAAAAACACTAACAATTCGAATTATTTAATTGTAATAAAAAGCCACCGACTCAAGTTCAAGGTAATCTTGTTAGCGAGCTCGCTCGACGGACGGTATCGGCTTCGATAGAACTCACATTTTATTCTGTGAGTCTGTATTTCCTAATTAATGGATGATAACCCCTAAATAGCAAATCAGCTATTCTGCGATGACCATAATATAAGTAGTTTCTTTATACTTTCATCTCAGTTTCAATGTGGAACATGTTTTAAGCGAAACTAAACCTACCATCAAAAACTGGTGAACGCAAAACGACAATAACTATAACCTTTAATAGAGATATCCGTGTTTATATACCCATAAAATCAATTTCCTAATCTGTCAATTCAAACAATCGGTAAGGTGTTGATTGCAACGATTTTAAATTTTCTTCCCGCTAGCTGGCGCTAATGATTGAGCGGCAAAATGTCATATTACATATAAAGTATGTCACGTGATTTTAGCTAGAATTAGGTAAGCTTACCTCCTGACCTATATAAAAGTAATTTTACCATTAAAATACAAATATGTTTGTTTATATTTTCAACAATTGAAGTATTAGGTTTCAACATTTTTTGAAATCCTTTCGAATATTAGATTCCCATGTTTTCGATTTTTTACGTAGGGAGAGTAAAATTTCGACCTATCCCGCAAGAAATCTGGAATGAAGATAAGGTGTAAGTCAAATGTATCTAAGTTATAAATGCCTTTTAAAGAATATATTTTTCAATGCAGTTGCTCATAAAGCGCTATTTTTTTAATCCATTGTAAACACCGAAAGTGAGTCTTAAAACACGTGTTAAATAAAAATGTACTGAAATCCTTTACTGCACACGTGCTTAAAGTATTTTTTTATTTTTTTTTGGCCGAGTACCAAAGAAATTTATAAAAAAATGATGAAAAAATGTCAAACTTTAGAGGCAAAAGTATTTCAAGGAGCCTAGAACGAATATTTTCAAATAAAAATGTATGACACGAAAACATGTTCAAACATCACGTTTAATTTTAGCAAATAATTTTTACCTTCAATACATACTTAGTTTTATTAACCTATATATTTGTTTTATTTTCTCACAAAAAGTAAAACCTTATTTTCCGCACTCGTATCTTAAATAACTTTTATTTGACTCAATAAATTTAAGACTTATTATATTTGGTCAATTTTGCATTCACAGTGCTATACTGGAAAATATTCTTAATGAAAAATGCTTTAAAAAAATCCACTTCCCATCCCAACTCGATGACTTTTTAAGCAATTTTGATTAAAAAAAATTAAGATCGTACACAACGAAAAGCAATTCGATACGGGACATTTAATCGTGGACTAAAAAGTAGACGCTCTCTTCGTCCCGTATGCAATATTCGTTGAGGTCTGATAAAGATTTTAATGGAGAGAAAAAATTAAAAATGGAACTAAAATAGTAAAAACGATACTTTTATTTTCATATATAATTGGGCGACAGACATTCGCCGGGTTAGATACTATTGTTAATAAAAACTTTATGCTTCGGCTGGAACCTAGACTGGCTAGACATGTCCAAAAAACTGCTCCATTTAAAAAAGGAGATACAAAAAATGTGTTTTAGTTGTTAACAATATTAAATTCGCAATAGTTCTTAATTATTTAAATAGAAAAAAAATAACCTTGAATCAGAAGCAGAAGTTAGTGGCCGTTTGAATATTAATATATCGCGATGAGTGAACAGTACGTTGAATATTCAACGTCTCGGCACAGTAGGCGCGCGCGCACATGTTGTGTGATCGCAACGCCACACCTCTTACACGCGTCGCGTGATCGACTCCCGGGTTAACCAGCCATACAGGCGCCTATTGTCAACGATCTTGACCATGAACAATGGTCGAAACGAAAATCTTTGAAAATTCAGTTTCATTATCAACTTATTAATGTTCCCACTACTGCGGCTGCCTTCCAGATCAAATAGGGGGAACAGGCTATGAACAACAACGGGGTTCAGTGTGGATTGGTGGGTGTTAACGACTCGTAGATTCAGCCGAAATCAACCTTAACGTGCCTTTTGAAGCATGGAGAAGCTCAAGATAACAAATTTTTGGTAATCCATCCTATGAACAACCCTTGCGAATGGTGCTTAACTGCAGTATTACAGACCGGAGGCGCCAACTACTGCATCAACGAGCTCCTCAACCCAACACGCGTAGCATGACAAACTCGAGAACGTTTTGTCTAAACCCAAACGTTACTTTTCTCGGCTCGAGAGTGATGTGATATTGGGGTGTAGGCAAATGGTTCTCTACTTATGCAGCATGCGTAGCATGACAAACTTAAAAACTTTTTGTCTACACCTAAATATAAATTTTCTCGGGCGTGCCCATACGATATCTCAAGCTCGATCCGAGAAAAGTGACACCTTTTAGCATTGATATGTGACGCAGCCTGACTAATTTTTTGCCGAAGCTCGTCCAATGTCGTAATGGGTTTTTCATAGATTTTGTCTTTGAGACAACCCCAATAGAAAAAGTCCAGGGGGTTTAGGTCGGGTGATCGGGGTGGCCATAAGATAGGACCAAGTCGCCCAATCCAACGCCCGGAATACTCTTAGTTTACAAATGGTGTGCATATTTTTTTACTGTGACTAGTTATCTTAGATTATTATACCATTTTGGAATCTTGATGAGTTCAGTCAATTTTAAAAACAACTTGCCACAGTGGTGTCCATACTTTTTTTTTACAAGACCGTAAGTCAAAGATTACGGAACGTAAAAATCTGTGAAAATTTAAGGAAAAAATACATTTTCATTGTTTTTTGTGTAAAAACTGCGGGCATTTTGGTGTTTTTAAGAGTTGTAGCGAATAGTAGTGCTACTTAGGTATCCGATACCAAAAAAAGATTGAACATAATTGAGAAGTTGTGGTCGTGGTAGTTGAAAATATCATAAAAGGTGTAAATTTTCGAAGATTTTCGAATTTAATTTTATAATAAAAAAGATTAATAAGATATAATTTTTTTCTTATTTTCCATAAGTACACATGAGCAGGTCTACCTCTTGGCGCCCGCTTATCCGGTCAAGTGATTTCGGATCCCATTCAATTCAACAAACAAACCTTTCGTCTTTATAATATTACCTATAGTATAGCTGTTTTCGCAAGTAACGTGGCTTGTCATACGCGTATAATGTAGCTTCCCATAATTGACAAAAAATTAAAATCAGCCATCTAATATTTGCTCTTTATTCTAAAGTCATATCGAATTTTGTTAATTTAAAAAAGGTGGAATATATTTTTAACTAAAAACATTCGAATACGCCAAAATTTTGTATTAATTATAGTCTAAAAGCGGCGACGTCCGGACCTTCGTTATTTTATTAAACCTGAATGTTTATTCCAACACAGATATGAGTTATAAGAAAGATTGGACTTTGAAAAGATAGTGGTTATTTTGGAGGTGACAGGTAACGATGTTGTATAAAACAGTATCGAATTCGTCTCAGTATAAAGCTCTGAGCGCGTTTTTAATGCTCTGTATCCAAAATTTAAACGAAACACTTATTACCGAGACTCTCATGAACCGTAATAGCCAGACAGTTGAAATTTTCACAGATGATGTATTATTTCTGTTGCCGTTATAACAACAAATACTTAATATCAATAAATAAATATTTAAGGAGGCTCCCATAGATTTTTTTTTTATGTTTCTGCGTGCACGAGTTCGACTCGCATTGAGCCGGTTTTTAATGACATTATTTATTAGACAGTACCTAAAGCAACCCTCTGCCAGACACCCCTAAGCTTTAATAAATTACATATGTACTTTCGTTACTAAAAGTCTAGCCGCTGTCTTCAGTAGGTATTTGGGGTGTAAAACTGAAAGCCTGTTGACTATTCAGATACAATACGCGCAATAAGATAGACAGAGATAGAGGATGGCGAGTTACACACAGAAAAAGTTTTTAATTAATTACTCGAAAAATATTATAATTATCGTAAAATTGGCCATAATTAATTTATCAATTTCCACTAAACGATATATAATTAAAGGTATAATTACAATACGAAGTAGAAAATTAATGGTGAATTTTAAGGGTTACTATTATGTTTTTTTCTATCAAGTAATTTTAGAAATAGCTTTAGAAATAGCCTATTTTTATTATTATAAAATTATTTTGTATATACATGCACTATGAAATATATTCTAGATTAACCCAAGGTTCAATGCGTGGACCGTTTAGTATAACTCAAGTTACGACAGCACCAATAGCAAGTTTTAAGTTACGTTGCGACAAAAACACGTGAATTAACTCACGCTCCATTTACTCCTGCTATTTTCAAAAATTTCAAGCGCTTATTTCATTAGTATAAGCAATGGACATATATATTTCGAGAAAAATAAATATAAGTATTTTTTCTGCTTTTATCAACAAAAATTCTATGCTAATTCCCAACATTTTTGGATTCTCAATATTTATTCAAATGGATATAACTAATGCGAATTATCTGAGATACATTTTATGATTAATGAAAATCATTACGTCCACTTAAAAGTGTTTGTACTCCCATAAATCTTCATGATTTATACAAAAAAAAAGCAATGAAAATTTAAAAAGAAAACCACGGTGTAGCACAACTCTACCAAAACACGCAAGCGGCGTGTAGCGCGTAGTAATTCACAAGAAAGATTTCTGAATAATTTATATTTTTACCACTTGCAGTCGTGTTTCATACATTTTATGGTTTTGTATCATCTAACATTCGTATCTACATTTAAAATGTCGATTTAACCGGTCTCTATTAGTCATTCTTAATAGGATCCCTCGTATAAATAAATGATAAAAATATAATATATGATGTAATATAATTTAATAATTATTATAATAAATAAAATTGAAATGTTACGTTCCTTTTCAGTTGGAGAAAGTGAAATAAATGCCGCGAAAATTTTTAAACGCCTAATAAATTTTACTTACCCAAAAGCTTTCGACGTAATGTGAAAACAGGAAAGCTCCCGGAAGAGACATGGTTGCCGGTTCGTGTTCAAAAGAAGACTGACGTTGAGACCACGCCGTTATATTTATTTATACACTTTTTGTTTACTAACATCACACAAGAATTCCTTTATCTATTTACGATTACGCGATACGATACACCAACGTGCGGCGCGCGAGCCTCCACGCCACCGACTGAGAAGTTACCAATGTATCACGTCCCTATATACCTACTTATTTCATGCTTTGCTCCAACGCTTATGTTCCACATTCAAGCATTAATAACTATGGATCTTGGATATCGTACCATGCCCATATGATTGTGTATCACTATGCCCGACTTTCTTCCACGCAACGCACTCTTAATTGACCCAATAACACCATCGATAAAGGGCTGCGATTGTGAAAATGTGGACTAGAAATTAGTTCAAGGTTGTCAGAATTTAGAACACGAATAATTAATGTCCATATTAGATAGACGAAATTGTTTCTAGCTTCATAGTGACGATATGTTTACTGTTGATTAATGGACATAAATAATAATTACGATGCATCGACGTTATTCTAAGGTTAAGGCGTCGTCATAGCCTAATAACCTGTTAGAATCTAACCTCTGCGATTATTATGCAAAGCGTAGTGTTGGTATATAAAGTTATAATAGTCCTTAAAATATTACCTTATTGATATTAACTAAAAAGATGTAATATCTATAAACTTTTTAGGTTTTATTTTTTTATTAGAGTTCTGTTTTTTTCTAATTTCGTGTGTAATTTATTATCACTTATCTTACAATACGATTGCTAAAACATTTTTTAGTTTCATTTGTTACAGTATTGTAAAAGTTAAAAAAAAACGAAGTTTCGGAAACTCACATAAATATTTTTCATGCTCCTCGTTGAACAAAAGGAATGTAATTTAAAGATAAAGGAAAGATATCAAATGTTACACATATATTTTGGCACAACTTGAAATAAGTCAATCGAATCCGTAAAAAGATCGCGAATTTCGTGACTTTATTGACAATTTACAAATTTACGTAGGTAAAAACTGCTTCTTACCTGGGTAGAAGTAGTTTTTATTTTTAATAACTACTAGGGGTTAAAGTATGAAATGCCGTTTTATAAGATAAGTTAAGATAAGGTCTTTATTTGCTAGAATACAATCAAAAGGTCACAAAATTAAAAAATTAGATAGGTACAGTATTCTACCCAAGAACAGGCGTGCAAATATTCTAATCATGGAATTTTCTTAAAAGACAAATACTCCTTCACAGTAAAGAAGCATAAAATACTTTGTCAATTTTAATTTAAATTCATTCATATTCAAAAATTTCATGTCATCTGGGAAATTGTTGTATAAAGTTATGTACGTACATATTGTATACATTTTTTATAAATGTCCTTATGACAAGGAGGCTGGTACAATAAATATATATATTTTTGTCTAGTTTGCCGAGGCATAACTTCTACACGTTTAGTCCAATATTTGGAGTTGGAGTGAACAAATAAACATACATCTTTTATATACATACAGGGTAGAGGCAAAACATTAAGTTTCTTAAAAGGTGGTTTACAACTATCATCAAACCAAGCATTACAAAAGACACGAATACATTTCTTCTGAACTCTAAAAAGTCTGTCAAGATCAACAGAAGCTCCCCACAATAACAAACCATAGCTCAAAATAGACAACACATATCCATGGTCGGCGATTAAAGCAGCTTCAACAGAGACTGTTTGTTTCAGTTTTTTTATTGCAAATATAAAACCGTTTAGTTTTCCACATATATGGTCAATATGCTGCTTCCAATTTAAATGTTTATCAATATCAATCCAAGAAAACGTACTGAATCTACTTTGTCTATTTCAATATTTTTGTAATTAATTTTTACAGGTTATATGATCTGAACTTGTGTTATATGATCTGAACTAGATTAATTGAGTTTTATTAATATTTAATTTTAAATTATTTGCATCTAACCATTTAGTGACATCTAATAATGCTGTGGTTATTTGACGTTCAAATAACTCGATATTGTTACTATCACACTTAATGATTATTGTTGTATCATCTGCAAACATTATGCACTTGTTACTTGTGCTAATCATTTATGTACCAGAAACAGCGGTGGTCCAAGAATACTTCCTTGAGGAACGCCGGCATTTTTAATTTTAAGATCAGATCTATATGTTTGTTATATATTTTTTATTTTATCTGTTTTATCCATTCAAGAGCATTGCCTCTGATACCACAATTGCTTAGTTTGTGTAGAAGTTTTGAGTGGCAAATGAAATCAAACGCTTTACTCATATCTAAGCATAATGAGTTTTTTTATTCAGGCTTTCAGTAACATAGCGTATAAACTCAAAACATGCTAGAGAAGTTGAGCGACCCTTACGAAATCCATATTGATCTGGATGAAAGTAATCGTGTTTGTCTAGGAAATCTATCAATCTGGAATGCATGGCCTTTTCGAAGATTTTGGATAATAGTGGCACTAACTGTTAAAGGTCTGTAGTTATTTGGATCCATCCTGTTGCCTTTCTTAGATTATGGTTTTACAATAGAGATTTTTAGCTTCTCTGGAAACTTCCCCTCGGCAAATGATAGATTTATAAGGTGAGTAATCGGATGGCATATAAAAAAGGCACACAATTTAAGAATGTATGTAGTAATATTGTCATAACCACTGGCTCTACTGTTATTTAAAGATAGAATCATTTATAAGTTTCATTTATATCTATAGGATTCAGAAATATTGTAGAAGAATTAGTATCATGAATAATTGATTGAAATGTCATGCTCAGACATTTTTGTTCGTCAAGTTTTAAAAAAAAAATATTAAAAATATTGCTAATGTCTTAATGATTATTGTATATTTGATTATCATAAGAAATTGAATTAATTTCATAATCATGTATATTATTTAGAAGTCATCGATGTTATTGTATTCCAGGTGGCTTTACATTTGTTTTTATTGTTTCGTATGTACCTGTTATTATTAATTCTTTGTGCACATAAAAAACATTTCTTTAGAATGGTGTTATGTTTTTTAAGTTTCGATTTAATTTCTGATTTTCCGTATTTTATGTTTTTGTATTTAAAAAATAAAGAACGCCTATTTTAACATGACTTTTTAATAGCTTTTAATAGTCAAAATAGTTTACTAACGCGATTATTAAATTTAACTTTGATTATTGGAAAACAAAGGTCGTAAAAAAGACGTTATATATCATAAAAACACTAGTAAATAGTAGCGTTGTTTGTGTATAGACCCCACTGCTGGGAGAATCAGGCCTTCCCTATGGATGGTAACGAATGGAATCGAAAATAGAGAGACGGTATGTAGTATTAACGACTGCAGATGCAGCCGGGACCAACGGCTTAACATTCCTTCCGGAGCACGGAGAAGCTCGAGATAATAAACTTTGGTCACCCATCCTATGACCAGCCAACGAAAGTTGCTTAAAAACCTCAGACTACTAAATAAACATTTATTTTTAAGGGATGTTTCAATAAAGTTTTATGTATTTAAAATTATTTAACGCTATTATATTTTTTTTATCTAAAAAAAGCAATTCCTGTATTATAATCTTGGAAACGGCTGCATCAATTTTCATGACATTAAGTAAACTTAACAAAATCGATTTATCGGCTTTCAGAGGCGATAAATCGATTTAGATAGGTTACATTTTTTTATTTTAAATAAGTGGCGAGTAAAGCTTAGTCGACGACTTGACGTATCTAATCAAATACGAAATGAAACAAACAACCAGGCTTCTCTGCTAAGTTTAATTAAGAAATTTAGGAAAAGCGCGTTAAGTATTTGTATGGAGATTTCAAGTCCTTGATAGTTACTGTTAGAGGCGCTGTACCGGATTCCATCTCGACTTTGATCGTAAACGTCAAAAAAGTACACTAGGGTTTTCGCAAGACCAAGAAAACGGTCAAGTGCGAGTCCGACTGGCGCAGGAAGCAGGAAGAACGCAAATAATCATGTGTGTTGTATTGTATGGGAGCCTAGCGGCAACGGCTATAGGTAGGTATATCATCTAACTATCACACATAAATGCTTACCCCTCTGAAAACGTGAATTTATAAGTCGAAAAATAAGTCGACCTGTTCTATAACAATATTGGTAACTGGCGACTGAAAGAGAAGGAAACACTATAGCCGGGTTGCCCAGTGGTTAGACCAGTCGCCCGGATTGCGAAAAGTCGTGGATTCGAGTCCCATTTCAGAGTACCAGGGACTATTCGATTTTTTAGACATTTCATTGAGAATATTTTCCAGTATAGCATTGTGAATGCCAAATTGATAAAATATAATAACACCGTAGTTTATGACCCGTTCCACCTATTTGGTATTTGATTCTGTCCACAGGGTAGACTGATGCAATGTTGAAAATCAAATCACATATGTATATATTGTGATTTGATTTTCTAGAAGAATATGCGAAAAAAAATGGTTAAACGTCGATTAGGCTTCCCAGACTGCTGTATTATTAGCCAGATTAGGTAGCCACGCAAAGTTTTAGTCGCAATAACATAATGCTGTGTGTAGAGGGGGGATGGCAAGCGGATTGATTAATACAGTAGAACACTTAATAGGAGTTCTCGCATAATACGCCATTTTGATAGATATATTATTGTTATTCTTAATACAAAATTTTAAGCATTTTGTATTAGGAATAATTTTAAATAAGGCATTGTGAATGCAAAAATAATCAAAATATAATATATTATTGTTGCCATACTTAAAAAAAAACAGAATATAATATACATAGACTTGCCATAAATATTGTTACACAAAAAATCATTTTTATTTATTGAGCGTTACATTTATTACTGTTACAATGTGTTAATTTAATACGTTAATATAAAGCCATTAAAAATATATACTACAGCTTATTCGAATTGGTGTCCATTGTTGCAATACAGTCCTTTAAACGTTGAGGCCAGTTAGTAATAGACACACGCACTTTTCGAAATAAAAATAATTTTACTTACACTAAGCGGCTGCGGAAGCCGGCA